ATTCATACAGTTCTGTAAAACTAATTTCACACCTCTGCAAAACTAATTTCACACCTAAATTTAACATTTTTTAATTCTTTCATTTGTCATCCGTTAGTGTAAATTATGATTCTTTTTACTTGAAATTGGCATTGGTTAAGCATTCTAGCGTATTTGAAATCTTGCATAATTCTACGATTTTCTTCTATAATCTTCAATAACCATTCTAGTGAATGTAAAATCTTCTATAATTTTTTTTTTTTTTTTTTTTTTTTTAACTGAGTTGGCTTCATTAGATACCAATGTGTTATCCAAATATTTTGTCCTCTCATGTAAGCGGCAATTACACATTTCACAGGTTATTATGTCACATTTATGAGAAAAAATACATTGTGAAGTTTAATAAGTAGGGACACTGATCACCTTCACCATCAAAATAAGCTATTCACACAGTTCTGTAAAACTAAATTCACACCTCTGCAAAACTAATTTCACACCTAAATTTAACATTTTTTAATTCTTTCATTTGTCATCCGTTAGTGTAAATTATGATTCTTTTTACTTGAAATTGGCATTGGTTAAGCATTCTAGCGTATTTGAAATCTTGCATAATTCTACGATTTTCTTCTATAATCTTCAATAACCATTCTAGTGAATGTAAAATCTTCTATAATTTTTTTTTTTTTTTTTTTTTTTTTAACTGAGTTGGCTTCATTAGATACCAATGTGTTATCCAAATATTTTGTCCTCTCATGTAAGCGGCAATTACACATTTCACAGGTTATTATGTCACATTTATGAGAAAAAATACATTGTGAAGTTTAATAAGTAGGGACACTGATCACCTTCACCATCAAAATAAGCTATTCACACAGTTCTGTAAAACTAAATTCACACCTCTGCAAAACTAATTTCACACCTAAATTTAACATTTTTTAATTCTTTCATTTGTCATCCGTTAGTGTAAATTATGAATTTTTTTACTTAAAATTGGCATTTGTTAAGCATTCTAGCGTATTTAAAATCTTGGTTAATTGTAGGATTTTCTTCTATAATCTTCAATAACCATTGTAGTGAATGTAAAATCTTCCATAATTGTTTTTTTTTAACTGAGTTGGCTTCATTAGATACCAAAGTGTTATCCAAATATTTTGTCTTCTCATGTATGCAGCAATTACACATTTCACAGGTTATTATGTCACATTTATGAGAAAAAATACATTGTGAAGTTTAATAAGTAGGGACACTGATCACCTTCGCCATCAAAATAAGCTATTCACACAGTTCTGTAAAACTAATTTCACACCTCTGCAAACTAATTTCACACCTAAATTTAACATTTTTTAATTCTTTAATTTGTCATCCGTTAGTGTAAATTATGATTCTTTTTACTTGAAATTGGCATTGGTTAAGCATTCTAGCGTATTTGAAATCTTAGATAATTCTAGGTTTTTCTTCTATAATCTTCAATAACCATTCTAGTGAATGTAAAATCTTACATAATTATATTTTTTTTTAACTGAGTTGCCTTCATTAGATACTAATGTGTTATCCAAATATTTTGTCCTCTCATGTATGCGGCAATTACACATTTCACAGGTTATTATGCCACATTTATGAGAAAAAATATATTGTGAAGTTTAATAAGTTGGGACACTGATCACCTTCACCATCAAAATAAGCTATTCATACAGTTCTGTAAAACTAATTTCACACCTCTGCAAAACTAATTTCACACCTAAATTTAACATTTTTTAATTCTTTCATTTGTCATCCGTTAGTGTAAATTATGATTCTTTTTACTTGAAATTGGCAGTGGTTAAGCATTCTAGCATATTTGAAATCTTGGATAATTCTACGATTTTCTTCAATAATCTTCAATAACCATTCTAGTGAATGTAAAATCTTCTATAATTTTTTTTTTTTTTAACTGAGTTGGCTTCATTAGATACCAATGTGTTATCCAAATATTTTATCCTCTCATGTATGCGGCATTTACACATTTCACAGGTTATTATGTCACATTTATGTGAAAAAATACATTGTGAAGTTTAATAGGTAGGGACACTGATCACCTTCACCATCAAAATAAGCTATTCACACAGTTCTGTAAAACTAATTTCACACCTCTGCAAAACTAATTTCACACCTAAATTTAACATTTTTTAATTCTTTCATTTGTCATCCGTTAGTGTAAATTAGGAATTTTTTTACTTAAAATTGGCATTGGTTAAGCATTCTAGCATATTTAAAATCTTGGTTAATTGTAGAATTTTCTTCTATAATCTTCAATAACCATTGTAGTGAATGTAAAATCTTCCATAATTATTATTTTTTAACTGAGTTGGCTTCATTAGATACCAATGTGTTATCCAAATATTTTGTCTTCTCATGTATGCAGCAATTACACATTTCACAGGTTATTATGTCACATTTATGAGAAAAAATACATTGTGAAGTTTAAAAAGTAGGGACACTGAACACCTTCACCATCAAAATAAGCTATTCACACAGTTCTGTAAAACTAATTTCACACCTCTGCAAAACTAATTTCACACCTAAATTTAACATTTTTTAATTCTTTTATTTGTCATCCGTTAGTGTAAATTATGATTCTTTTTACTTGAAATTGGTATTGGTTAAGCATTCTAGCGTATTTGAAATCTTGAATAATTCTAGGATTTTCTTCTATAATCTTCAATAACCATTCTAGTGAAGGTAAAATCTTACATAATTGTTTTTTTTTTAACTGAGTTGCCTTCATTAGATACCAATGTGTTATCCAAATATTTTGTCCTCTCATGTATGCGGCAATTACACATTTCACAGGTTATTATGTCACATTTATGAGAAAAAATATATTGTGAAGTTTAATAAGTAGGGACACTGATCACCTTCACCATCAAAATAAGCTATTCACACAGTTCTGTAAAACTAATTTCACACCTCTGCAAAACTAATTTCACACCTAAATTTAACATTTTTTAATTCTTTCATTTGTCATCCGTTAGTGTAAATTATGATTTTTGTTACTTGAAATTGGCATTGGTTAAGTATTCTAGCGTATTTGAAATCTTGGATAATTCTAGGATTTTTTTCTATAATCTTCAATAACCATTCTAGTGAATGTAAAATCTTCCATAATTGTTTTTTTTTTTTTTAACTCAGTTGGCTTCATTAGATACCAATGCGTTATCCAAATATTTTGTCTTCTCATGTATGCGGCAATTACACATTTCACTTTTTTTTATGTCACATTTATGAGAAAAAATACATTGTGAAGTTTAATAAGTAGGGACACTGATCACATTCACCATCAAAATAAGCTATTCACACAGTTCTGTAAAACTAATTTCACACCTAAATTTAACATTTTTTAATTCTTTCATTTGTCATCCGTTAGTGTAAATTATGATTCTTTTTACTTGAAATTGGCATTGGTTAAGCATTCCAGCGTATTTGAAATCTTGGATAATTCTAGGATTTTCTTCTATAATTTTCAATAACCATTCTTGTGAATGTAAAATCTTCCATAATTGTTTTTTTTTTAATTGAGTTGGCTTCATTAAATACCAATGCGTTATCCAAATATTTTGTCTTCTCATGTATGCGGCAATTACACATTTCACAGGTTATTATGTCACATTGCTAAGAAAAAATACATTGTGAAGTTTAATAAGTAGGGACACTGATCACCTTCACCATCAAAATATGCTATTTACACAGTTCTGTAAAATTAATTTCACACCTCTGCAAAACTAATTTCACACCTAAATTTAACATTTTTTAATTCTTTCATTTGTCATCCGTTAGTGTAAATTATGATTCTTTTTACTTGAAATTGGCATTGGTTAAGCATTCTAGTGTATTTGAAATATTGGATAATTCTAGGATTTTCTTTTATAATCTTCAATAACCATTCTAGTGAATGTAAAATCTTCCATAATTGTTTTTTTTTTTAACTGAGTTGGCTTCATTAGATACCAATGTGTTATCCAAATATTTTTTCCTCTCATGTATGCGGCAATTACACATTTCACAGGTTATTATGTCACATTTATGAGAAAAAATACATTGTGAAGTTTAATAAGTAAGGACACTGATCACAATACATTGTGAAGTTTAATAAGTAAGGACACTGATCACCTTCACCATCAAAATAAGCTATTCACACAGTTCTGTAAAACTAATTTCACACCTCTGCAAAACTAATTTCACACCTAAATTTAACATTTTTTAATTCTTTCATTTGTCATCCGTTAGTTCAAATTATTAATTTTTTTACTTGAAATTGGCATTGGTTAAGCATTCTAGCGTATTTGAAATCTTGGTTAATTGTAGGATTTTCTTCTATAATCTTCAATAACCATTCTAGTGAATGTAAAATCTTCCCTAATTATTTTTTTTTTTAACTGAGTTGCCTTCATTAGATACCAATGTGTTATCCAAATATTTTGTCTTCTCATATATGCGGCAATTACACATTTCACATGTTATTATGTCACATTTATGAGAAAAAATTCATGATGAAGTTTAATAAGTAGGGACACTGATCACCTTCACCATCAAAATAAGCAATTAACACAGTTCTGCAAACTAATTTCACACCTCTGCAAAACTAATTTCACACCTAAAGTTAAATTTTTTTAATTATTTCATTTGTCATCAGTTCATTTAAATTATGATATTTTTGTTACTTGAAATTGACTTTGGTTAAGCATTCTAGTGTATCTGAAATCTTGGATAATTGTACGATTTTTTAGCCCTTTTCATTAGTTCGGTAAATATTTAGTATATATATATTTTTTGTCACAAGTTATAGAAACTGACTTTAACGTTTTGATGGACCTTTTGCTTATTGTAGCATTCATACTGAAGTTATCCCAATGGCTAATGACTTAACTATTAATGATGTGAGAACAAGCGTTCCAATCGTTGCCGAAATCAATATTTCTGAAAACTTAGTAGCAGAAGTTGTCAATCCCATTGACATAGAATTCACACCAAAATTGAACATGTAGTTTGACACTGAGGATGAAGCATACGACTTTTATAATGCCTATGGGGGTAAAGTTGGATTCAGTATTCGTAAGGATTATGCAAATAAAAGCCGTAAGATAGGAAATATTACAACAAGCAAGTTTGTGTGTTCCAAACAAGGTTTTAGGGTGAAGGACAAGAGGGATATCCATACAAGAAAGCCCAGGGCAGAAACTCGAACCGGTTGTGGTGCACTAATGCAAATTAGATATGATCGCAAGAAGGGAAAGTATGTTGTATATAATTTTGTCGAATCTCACAATCATCCTATGATAATTGAAGAATGCACACATATGATGCCATCACAACGAAGAATAAGTGTTGCCCAAGCAATTGATGTGGAATTGGCCTGCCAATCTGGAGTTCCACTCGGTAATGCATTTGAGTTAATGAGCAGGCAGGCTGGTGGAGGCAATCAATTGGCTACACCAAAGTTGATCAACAAAATTTTTTAAGGACAAGAAGACAGAGTGAGTTAGAATACGGAGAGAAGACATGGCTGATGAATTATTTCAAAATTCAATCTTGTGAGAATCCTTCATTTGTTCACACCGTACAGTTGGATAGCGATGAAATGATAACTAATATCTTCTGAGCAGATTCAAGAATGATAATTAACTATGGGCATTTTGGAGACGTCGTCACATTCGACACGACATACAAGCTCGTCCAAAGCAATCGTCCTTTTGCGGCTTTTCTTGGTTTGAATCATCATCGGGAGACAGCTGTCTTTGGATTAGCATTGATGTATGACGAGACTGCCAATTCCTTTGCGTGGCTGTTTGATGCATTCTTGAATGCAATGTCAGGTAAGTAGTCTAAATGTAAATTTTTTTTTCTTTTTGCAATTATTAAAGGCTGAAGTTGATTATGCCCTTTTTTAACCCTTCCTTTTTTTCTTTTTTCTTTTTTTTTTTTTTTTTTTTTTATATATATACTTTTTCAGTATGATTCTGATTTTTATGTAAATTACTTGTGGTTACTTGAGTGAGTTTATTGTTTGTACCTTGTAGCTCACCAGTAACTTAATCATATTTGAAGTCTACTACACTACCTGGAGATGTTAGAATCTTTGCTTCCCAAGGGTAGTAGCAACAGTCATTTATTCCTTCCAAATACCTGTATATGTTTTCCTGAATACAAATACTAAATAATGCATTGACAATACTCGTGTATAAAATACTAACTTTTTCTTGTGTACGTACATGTCCATTATGTGCACTCTCGGGTTGAGTTTGAGTCATATTTTAAAAAACAAGCAGAGAAGAATAATGAGATGAAGGTGGAAATGTAAAGAATGTGGATTGTGTGAGGTCAAAGATTGGAAGAGTGCATTTGGTTAAAAAAAAAAATGAATTGGTTTAAGATTCCATGTAGGTTAAAATTATAATTTAATTATCTGTGTTGCACCTACTTAATTAGAAGTTAATTATCAAGGAGAGAACAATGAATAATCTCTGTTTTTCTGTTTCTATATCATGGAAAAGAAAAACAAAAATAGTTGCAACATTTTATTGTACTCATTTTGTCAAATGTCAAGGGTAAAATAAGAATTCTAACTCCTCTATTCTTTTTGTTCACATCTTTTACACTAAAAGGATTTAGCTCAAATTTTAACTCTTTATGTCTTAAAAATTTTTTATATCTCTTTAATAATAATAATAACAACACAAGGTGTTGTGGGAGATGTAAAGAATGTGGATTGTGGGACTTACCTAAATAAAGTCCTTTTATTTTTATTTCTCTTTTCATCTCATTATTCTTCTCTGCTTGTTTTTTAAAATATAACTCAAACTCAACCCGAGAGTGCACATAATGGACATGTATGTATACAAGAAAAAGTTAGTACTTTATACACCAGTATTGTCAATGCATTATTCAGTATTTGTATTCAGGAAAACATATACAGGTATTTGGAAGGAATAAATGACTGCTGCTACTACCCTTAGGAAGCAAAGATTCTAACATCTCCAGGCAGTGTAGTAGACTTCAAATATGATTAAGTTACTGGTGAGCTACAAGGTACAAACAATAAACTCACTCAAGTAACCACAAGTAATTTACATAAAAATCATAATCATACTGAAAAAGTATATATATAAAAAAAAAGAAAAAAAGAAAAAAAAAGGAAGGGTTAAAAAAGGGCATGATCAACTTCAGCCTTTAATAATTGAACATGGCCGTTATTTTTTACCTTTTTTATGTGAATTACTTTTTCAAATGAAGATATTTTATTGGGCCATAATGTTCTTGCCTTCAAATTTTCAATACTGTTAAAAATTTTAGTGATGATGTATGATAAGATTGCCTATTCATTTACATGCCTTTTTTTATATATTCTTGAATGTGATGTTAGGTAAAGCACCACAAACGATTCTTACTGACCAAGATGGTGCAATGGCAAAGGCGTTGGCACAAGTTATGCCGAGGACAAGACATTTACTTTGCACGTGGCACATCATGGCAAATGCACAGAAGCATGTAGGCACCATTTTTAAGAATGATGAAGGGATTAAAAGTGTGCTGAGTCAATTCATGTACTGTTATGATGATGAGGATGATTTTTGTATACAATGGGATGTAATGTTAAGGGACTACAATGTTGTTGGTAACACATGGTTAAACAATTTGTTTGGTTTAAGAGAAAAATGGGGTTATCCATTTGTTAAACATTGGTTTACCGCTGGAATGCGGACAACGCAGCTGAGTGAAAGTTTAAATAGCTGCTTGAAAGAGTACTTAACCAGGAAAATGAGTATTCCAGATTTCTTCATGCACCTTGACAGGCTATTGTCAGACAAACGGTACAAGGAATATCAAGCTGAGTATGGTTTACTCAGTAAACTACCTAGACTTAAAAAAAATTGTCCCATTCTAAAACAAGTGGGCAATATGTACACATTGAAGATTTTTGAACTTTTCCAGGACCAATTCATAGAAGCTTGTGTGGTTGGTACTGTGGAAGGAAGAAGTTTTGATGAAAATGGATTACGTGTTTCTAGAGTATCTGTTCATGATGGCAGTATGGATCGGACTATGACAAGGTGGGATGATGGCTTTCTAACTTGTTCATGCGAGAAATATGCAATGGAAGGTATTTTGTGCAGCCATGTACTTAAAGTACTGAAAGACGACACTCAGTATTTCAAAGAATTACCTTCTATGTATATACTAAAAAGGTGGACGAGAAAAGCTAGGGATAACAGCGTACAAGACATCTGTGGATGTGAAGTTATTGCTGATCCTAAACTTGAAGTACGCAGAAGGTATAGGATGTTATGTCATTTTTTTTATAGAAATCAGCTCATTTGCATCCAAGAAAGAAGAGGTATTCAATAATTTGATGCTAAAGGGGATGAAATGGAAAAGGAAACACATTAATGTTGAAAGGCAATGTTTCGATGTTGAACAAAAGGCAACCAATTCAGCTTTTTCAACTGAAAGAAGTAATAATCATGAACATAATGAAAGTATCATTGGGCAAGCCGTGACCAGAAGTAATGCCAAGGGTATAAAGAATAAAGAAACAGGTGGTAAGGGACCAAGGCGCAGGAAGAAGAATAAGTTTGAACAATATATGCAGAGAAAAAAAAACTATGCGAAACGAAAGGTTAATTTAATTTATTTTTCTATTATTTGATAATTTAATTTTCCAGTATATGTCATTAACATTTTGATATTAGCAATGTCATAATTTTGTTTTTACAATGAATAAATCTATTATTTTATAGAAATCAAATGGCAACAACAGTGTTAGTGCAGGTGTAGGTGGTAGTAGTACCGTGCCACCTATTACATATGTACGTCTGAATGTGAGTTTTCTCCTTTCCTTAAATGAAAACATTGATTTTTTATTTTTTATATATTATTATAATTTTTAGTATTATAATCTCTTAATTAAGAATGTTTATATTGAAATAAGGGTTGTGACATTCCTAGTGACGCCACTTGGATTTACGAAGATCATCACCCATGTGCACGTTTACATTCGGAAACAAATATCGACCAAATGACATATTGCCCTACCACTAACTTCAGTCATCCCAGGACTCCACCAACTGAACAGGTATAAACAAACTTTTATTTTGAACTAGGTATATAAAAATTAATGAACATTATTTTATACTTTTGAAATCCATTTGCATACTGAACATTGAGAATATATTGGCAGGGGACTCCATTTGTTTCGTATCATGAATGCCGATTCTCAGATTGTCATGTAAGTTTATCTCTTATAAAATTTATGCTTCTGCAATATATTCTAAACATGTATGTTTTAACTTTGCATTAATTAACGTATGTACAAACATTGTTTTTGTATGATCTATTTTAAGGATGTTGATCACACCAGTGGTGACCGTAATTTGATGCCAATGTTGGAGGAGACAACATCCGAGATCAATCTTCCAGCTCGGCAAAATTTGTTTTGAGTTAAGAAATTCTGTACAAATTGATGGTGTATAGGTATACTATGGTTGATGGATGATAACAGAATATGGTGGCATAAAAAATATATCCCTTTTTGAGTAAAGATTTGTAAATGTATGGATAACTTGTTCACTTTTGTTTTTTGGGTTTTGTATATATGGAAAATGAAATGGATTTTTATTCAGGCCTATTTATGTCAATTGAAATATGTATGTGTACATATATTGTTTAGTCCATTTTGTTTGTGATTTGGGACAGGTTGAAACCATTAATTTCAAGGTGATATGGTTCCGTGAATGGCATCTGGCTATTTTCTCCAATGATGGCGATACTTAATTGCCTCTTGCATATGGCGATTTTATGTTAGACAGTGTTAATTAGATTATCCATCCCAAAAATTCCATTTTGTTACTTCAAAAGTTAAATACAACATCACACTACATACATCACATTACATACATACATATATATCACATTACATACAGAAAACAACATCAACGGTTATCATCAGTTGACTATGACTTTTTCTCCAATGATGCCAGACACCATCAATATGTGGAGATCGCAATGGCAAAGATTACATTTTATTTTCTCCTCATTTATTCGCTCGACCATCCACCATTTGATGTGAACCATGTCACCTTCATAGTTCGGTGGTCCATAATCTTCCTCACAACAAGCAGGAATGTTATGAAATAACCCATTTGACCACCCTCTTTTCACTATTGAAATCATTTGTTCTCTCCGATGTTTTATGATCAGTTTATTTGTTATGTCTGTGTTCATGTTCGAAAGTTGTTGAATACCATTTACTTTATCAGCATCATTGCCATATATTAATGCAATGGCTAAAGCAAACTTACAACCAGTATGCTGAAGATATGCACCTTTGGTTAGAATACTTAGGCCATCTGCCCGATTTTGATGCAAGAAAAATAGCTCCTACATCCAACATAAAGTTATTAAAAATAAACCCGATTAAATTACTTTCACAATTTAGTAAAGTGAGTGCAAGCAACGTACCACTCCGGAGACAAACATAGCCTCCAAATTGCCATCATCAACACACTTTTGCATGAACACGCATCGCAAATAGTAAGTATCACTGGTACCCCCCGTTTGTATTTCGTACAAGGATTTAAAACTGAGAAGTCGTAACATATGTGGCTCCAAACACACCATAGCTAGCTTATGAGAACTGCACATATTTAAACACTTCTAACAAAAAATTTCGTGAATGAAAAAAATATTATAAACATAAAACAATAATGTACAATTAAATCCTTACCATTGTTGAAGTTGTAGTAGGTCTTGAAAATTATTTGCTGCCACTCTACTAACCACCTCACTGAGCAACAGCGGTGGGAGTTCTTCTATTTTCATTTTTAGACTACTTGTTTTGTGTATGCTGGTTACCTTTTGGGGGAAGGTTAACCATTGGTTTACCAGAAAGGGAAGAACTTATAGTGGATATATAGTCAATATGCATAGCCAATTAATGTGGTAGGTTAGGATTAGTTGAACACGAAATTATGTAATAACTCACAACATTAGCTGTAAATGTATAATTAAATACACTGCTTGTTTGACATGACTAAGTATATCTACAACTCCTCTATTATATATAGATATTTGGTTGAACCGGCAAATCTCCTCTAAGTACATTCACCATCTCAACTAAGTATTCACATCCTGTTATTTAAGTAATAGCACATATGAAATTATCTGAATTCACCATACTGTTTTTCTGATTTGAAGTGAATATAGAGAAAATAATATATGTGTGTGTGGGCGCGTGTGTGTATATTAATAAGAAAGCATAAAAAAAATTTAAAAAAATACAATCTTCACCTTCATAATTAAGTATTCACACCCTGCTGTATAAGTAATATCACATACAAAACTATATAAATTACCCAAACCCTAGAAGGAGTCGGCTCATGTAAATAAGAGGAGGCGGCTCCCTAGCCTTGAGAGCCGGCTCTCCTTTTTGGGAGCCTGCTCTTTGGATGGAAACTTCATTTCGTTGAAAAAAGCTTTTAGAGCCGTCTCTAATTGAAATAGAGCCTGCTCTAATTTTCTGAGCCTTCTCTAGAAATCTAGAGCCTTCTCTACTTTCGTAGAGCCTTCTCTACTTTCCCTTGAGCCTTCTCTAATTTTTGTAGAGCCTTCTCTACTTTCAGTAGGAGGCTTAAAATGAATTCCAGGATGATGTAAGGCTCATATGAATGTGTTTAAAAAGCTAATGAGGTAATTTTATGTTCTTTGAGAGATGAGATGAGAATGATATGCATGAATTGTAATTTTGAGCTTCTCCTCCTATCAATATGCATCTATCAATATACTTAAAAAAGCAATAGAATAGCACATTAGCATGATAACACATCTTTCTCCCCCTTTGTCATCTCAAAAAAAATGGGAGACTAAATGAATAGATAAAGAAAAATAACTTGCCATTTCAGGAAATATCAGAGAAGAATGAATTAAAGGGCAAAAGATAAGCAAATATGGCAATTTATGGATAACAAAAAGAGACTGTGAACACGAGTACCATATGAAAGATAAAGGCATAGTTTATAAAACACAGAAAAATGCTTCTCTAAAGCAAATAAAGCTAATAAGTGCACACAAAAGAGGGTTTGAAATGGAGAAAAACTGTTCTAAGGAGAAGAAGGTCCATATTGGTTTCGAAATTCTGTAAAATCGTTATTAAGATGAGCGATTGCTATGTGTATTTCGTCAAGTTGAGTTTGTTGTTTCTCAAGAGTGGCTTGGTTTTGACGAGTCCCTTTGAGAATTTCCAACAAGAGAGCACGATTGGTACGATTTTCAACTGGAACTTCCTCATTTTCATCATCGTCATCACTTTCATGGTCGTCTTCATCCCCATCATCAACATCCTCAATCTCTTCTCCTCTAGCTCGAGCCTCTTCCAACCTTCGTTGCCTAGGATAAAACCACACATTATTGTAATCCCTTTTTAGCCCCATTGACGCAAGATTGGAGGCAGTGAGAATGTGTCTTGGCCCTGGTTTGACTGCTTCACGACTATCAAGCGGAACCTTCTTAGCCATAAATATGTGAGAGAGAACCATGGGATAATAAAGAGAGACCTTTTTCTTTCTTTTGCATGTAAGAAGGTGATGAAATATAATGTATGCAAGATCAAAGTGCTTGCCATTTAAGACACACCAGATAAGAAAGACGTCCATGTGGGAAACTTTGGATCGACTGCCAGATTTGGGAAGAATAGAGTACATAATGATCTTGTGAATCAGCCTAGCTTCCATAGTTAATTGTTTGGTGTTGACTTCTCTGGTATTTGTTACATTTGAATCATAACTCATTTGTAGAATAGCCGCGAGTTTATCAAAGCCTTGTCCTTTAAACCAGTTGAAATGAGAATAGAATTGAATTCCATCCACAGAGGGAAGATGAAGGATTCGAGCAATGCTGTTTGTATCAAGGTGAAAATATATTCCAGCCACATAGCAGTTAAGTTTTTCTTGTCCAGGCATTTCTTCAAGATGAGTGTAGAATAACTTTACTAATTTTGGATAGTAACCTTCATTCATTCCAACAAATGATCCAAGGCCAATTGCATCAAACAATCTATACGTGTTGAGATGAAGATCATTGCAAATTGTGTCAGACAACACCATTGCTGTGGCCACTTTTCTATGCTGAAAGAATTTGTCATATATGCTTTTGTATGTGGGGTTTTTATATAGCATGGTGGCAGAGATTTGAAGTGGAGGAGGATTTGGTTCACTAGGGCCTGATTCATCATTATGTTGAGTAGACCGTTTTTGTCCACGAGAGGGATTCTTTCTACGTGAGGATGAAGCCGTGGACATTTCGAGAAATTATACTGAAATTACAGAGGAATTCTCTGAATAAAAATCCAATTTAAAAGGCAATGAAAAAATCAAATCTCAAATAAGTGTAGACAGAAGATTAGCAGTAAAACAAATTGAATCAATGGAAAGGCCCAGTCAAAGTTACACATTTAGTTAGAATTTTGAGGGAAAAATAATTTATCTAGACATGAAGAACCAAAATGGAGGCATACTAGAGGATTCAAATTTAAACTGAAATGGAAGCATATGGAATTTTAACAGGACAGTGCATGGAACAGTCCTAAAATGTTTGCTTGATAAACCAAAAAAAATTAATATAACATGCTCTAGGGATTGAGATATATACTAATTCATCCTAAGAGAAGGAATTTAACATAATTGTGAAATGTACTACTCAAATGAACCAAAGTCATCACAAGTATTCAAAAATATATTTAGATAATAAAACACAAAAACAAACAAAAATATGATTAAGTTAATTTTTTTTTTTATGACAAAATTTATGCAAGAACACAAGATTTGATCAAAATATGATGGATCAACAAATTGATTAAAGGAAAAATGGAAGTTTGTGCATAAATTTTGAATTTGCAGACCATAAACTAAGCAATTCTTGCTAGAATAAGTCTTTTACATGTGAAAGAAAAAGGTTACATTGTAATCAAGGGTCTCATGGAATGATGAAATCAAAGGAGTAAATTAAAAATTAATTACTGAACATTCAATAAACAAGTAATGAATTTATGAAATGTAGAAAAAAATAGATGAAAACTTACTTGCTTGAACAGACTAGAGGAGAATGAAGAAAGCCCTAGCCGAGATGCTCTCTGGAAGTGAATGAAATTATGCCCAACAGTGAGTAAATGATATACAACAGAGAGCAATTCGAAGGGCCATATTAAGGAGATGGAGCCGGCTCTTGGGATTTAATGGAGTCGGCTCTTGGGATTTAATGGTGCCGGCTCTTGAAGTTCAATGGAGCCGGCTCTAAGTTGTTGAGCCGGCTCTTTGAGTTGGCAGCCAGCTCATAATAAATATGGAGCCGGCTCTCAGAATTTTTAGAGCCGGCTCCTTGCCAAGCAAAAAAAAAAAAAAATTAAATGAAAAAAAAAATAATGGACAGCCGGCTCAAGAAGAAATGT